CCAAAAATCATTTTCCATACAATTTTGTGTACTGCAGGTGATTGGTAGTAGATAATTCATCAGTGTTGTTATCATGTGGAAAAGAGTTTATTTCCCCATTGTTCCTGAGATACTGAGGTATTTTCAATGGGCATAGAACATTGTTCTAAGTTTTTCATTTATTTTTAGGATACATGTCCCATTGTGTTTCTCTGCTTTCCAATGAATAGGCAACTAAAATTCTTAATCAATAATTTGTACTTTCTTTGCTCATTCTCAATTATTTTCTCTTTGTATTTTTGCTAACACAGTTTTAACAAGTCTTTGAACTGTTTCTGTATTTCAAAGCACTTAACACAACCCTGTAATGTTTTGTCTTTGTACAAATTTAGGACATTTTTTGCTTTTTTTAAATTTTATTTTATAATTTAATTTAATTTTACATATCAGCCATAGATTCCCTTGTTCTCCCCCCTCCCCCGCCTTCCCCCAGCCCATCCCCCCATTCCCATCTCCTCCAGGGCAAAGACTCCCCTGAGGATTCAGCTCAACCTGGTAGATTCAGTCCAGGCAGTTCCAGTCCCCTCCTCCCAGGCTGAGACAAGTGTCCCTGTATAAGCCTCAGGTTTCAAACAGCCAACTCATGCACTGAGTACAGGACCCAGTCCCACTGCCTGGATGCCTCCCAAACAGATCAAGCTAATCAACTGTCTCACCTATTCAGAGGGCCTGATCCAGTTGGGGTCTTCTCAGCTATTGGTTCATAGTTCATGTGTTTCCATAAGTTTGGCTATTTGTCCCTGTGCTTTATCCAACCTTGGTCTCAACAGTTTTTGCTCATACAAACCCTCCTCTTTCTCGCCAATTGGACTCCTGGAGCTCCACCTTGGGCCTGGCCGTGGATCTCTGCATACAGTTCCCTCAGTCATTGGATGGGGTTTCTAGCATGACAATTGGGGTGTTTGGCCATCCTATCACCAGAAAAGTCAGTTCGGGCTGTCTATTGACCATTGCCAGGAGTCTATTGTGGGGGCTATTGTAAAGGGTGATGTATCTCTGATTTCCTTCTCAGCCTGTTTGTCAATTGTATATAAGAGGGCTACTGAATTTTTTTTGAGTTGTTCTTGTATCCTGCTATGTTGCTGAAGGTGTTTATAAGCTGTATCAGTTCCTTGGTTGAATCTTTGGGGTCACTCAAGTATACTATCATATCATCTGCAAATAGGGAAAGCTTGACTTTTCCCTTTCCAATTTGTATCCCTTTAATCTCCTTCTGTTGTCTTATTGCTCTGGCTAGAACTTCAAGTACTATACTGAATAAGTATGGGGAGAGTGGACAGCCTTTCCTCATTCCTGATTTTAGTGGAATTGCTTTGAGTTTCTCTCCATTTAATTTGATGTTGGCTGTTGGCTTGCTGTAAATTGCCTTTATTATGTTTAGGTATGTTCCCTGTATTCCTGATCGCTCCAAGACCTTTATCATGAAGGGGTGTCGGATTTTGTCAAATGCCTTTTCTGCATCTAGTGAGATGATCATGTTGGTTTTTTTTTTTTCTTTGAGCTTGTTTATATGGTGTATTACATTGACGGACTTTCGTATGTTGATCCACCCTTGCATCCCTGGGATGAAGCCTACTTGATCATGGTGGATAATTGTTTTGATGTGTTCTTGGATTCTGTTTGCCAGTATTTTATTGAGTATTTTTGCATCAATGTTCATGAGGGAGATTGGTCTGTAGTTCTCTTTCTTTGTCGTATCCTTGTTTGGTTTAGGAATCAGGGAAATTGTAGCCTCATAGAAGGAGTTTGGTAATGTTCCTTCTGTTTCTATTATGTAGAACAATTTAGAGAGTATTGGTATTAACTGTTCTTTGAAGATCTGGTAGAATTCTGCGCTGAAACCATTTGGTTCTGGGCTTTTTTTGGTTGGGAGACTTTGACTGTTTCTATTTTCTTAGGGGTTATTGGACTATTTATTTTATCTGGTCTTGATTTAACTTAGGTATGTGGTACCTATCCAGAAAATTATCCATTATTTTAGGTTTTCCAGTTTTGTGGAGTAGAGGTTTTTGAAGTATGACCTGATGATTCTCTGGATTTCCTCAATGTCTGTTATGTCCTCGTTTTCATTTCTGATTTTGTTGGTTTGGTTGCTCTCTCTGTGTCTTTTGGTTAGTTTGGATAAGGGCTTGTCTATCTTGTTGATTTTCTCAAAGAACCAACTCTTTGTTTCATTAATTTTTTTATTGTTCTCTTTGTTTCTATTTTATTGATTTTAGCTCTCACTTTGATAACTTCCTGGCATCTATTCTTTCTGGGAGACTTTGCTTCTTCTTGTTGTAGAGCTTTCAGGTGTGCTGTTAAGTCACTAGTGTGAGATTTCTCCAACTTCTTTATGTGGGCATTTAGTGCTATGAATTTCCCTCTTAGCACTGCTTTCATAGTGTCCCATAAGTTTGGGCATGTGGTGTCTTCATTTTCCTTGATCTCTAGGAAGTCTTTAATTTCTTTATTTCTTCCTTAACCCATTGGTGATTCAGTTGAGCAGTATTCAGTTTCCATGAGATTGTAGGTTTTCTGTAGTTTTTGTTGTTGTTGAAATCTAACTTTAAACTATGGTGGTCTGATAGAACACAGGAGGTTATTCCAATTGTTTTGTATCTGTTGAGATTTGCTTTTTGGCTAAGTATGTGGTCGATTTTAGAGAAGGTTCCATGGGGTGCTGAGAAGAAGGTATATTCTTTTTTGTTAGGATGGAATGTTCTGTAGCTGTCGATTAAGTCCATTTGAGTCATAATATAAGTCAAGACCTTTATTTCTCTGTTAAGTTTTGATTTGGGAGGTCTGTTCAGTGTTGAAAGTGCGGTGTTGAAGTCTCCCACTATTAATGTGTGGGGTTTTATATGTGGTTTAATCTTAATAATGTTTCTTTCACATATGTGGGTGCCCTTGTGTTTGGGGCATAAATATTCAGAATTGAAACTTCATCTTGGTGGATCTTTCTTGTGATGAGTACATAATGCCCTTCTTGATCTCTTTTGATTGTTTTTCGTTTGAAGTCTGTTTTGCTGGATATTAGGATAGCTACACCTGCTTGTTTCTTTAGACCGTTTGATTAGAAAGTCTTTTCCCAGCCTTTTATTCTTAGGTAGTGTCTATCTTTGAATTTGAGGTGTGTTACTTGTATGCAGCAGAAAGATGGGTCCTGCTTTCATATCCATTCTGTAAGCTTGTGTCTTTTTATAGGTGAATTAATTCCATTGATATTAAGGGATATTAATGACCAGTGATTGTTCATTCCTGTTATTTTTTGGTGGTAGTGTGTGTGTACTTCTCTTCTTTGGGGTTTACTGCTGTGACATTATCTATTGCCTGTGTTTTGGAGGGTGTATCTGACTTCCTTAGGTTGGAATTTTCCTTCTAGTGCTTTCTGTAGGGCTGGGTTTGTGGATAAGTATTGTTTAAATCTGGCTTTGGCCAGGCAGTGGCAGTGGTGGAGCACACCTTTAATCCCAGTACTCAGGAGGCAGAGCCAGGTGGATCTTTGTGAGTTTGAGGCCAGCCTGGTCTACACACTGAGATCCAGGAAAGGCACAAAGCTACACAGGGAAACCCTGTCTTGAAAAACCAAAAAAAAAAAAAAAAAAAAAAAAATCTGGCTTTGTCTTTGAATGTCTTGTTCACTCCATCTATGATGATTGAAAGTTTTGCTGGGTATATTAATATTAGTCTAGGCTGGCATCCATGGTATCTTATTGTCTGCATTACATCTGTCCAGGTCCTTCTGGTTTCAAAGTCTCCATTGAGAAATCAGGTGTTATTCTGATGGGTTTGCCTTTATAAATCACTTGACCTTTTTCCTTAGCTGCTGTTAATATTCTTTCTTTATTCTGTATGTTTAGTTATTTAATTATTATGTGGTGAGGGGACTTTTTTGGGCGGTCTAGTCTGTTTGGTGTTCTATAGGTTTCTTGTATCTTCATAGGCATTTCCTTCTTTAAGTTAGGAAAGTTTTCTTCTATGATTTTGTTGAATATATTTTCTGTGCCTTTGAGTTGGTATTCTTCACCTTCTTCTATCCCTATTATTTGTAGGTTTGGTCTTTTCATAGTGTCCCAAATTTCTTGGACATTTTGGTTCATGACTTTGTTGGCTTTAGTGTTTTCTTGGACTGATAAATCTATTTCTTCTACTGTATCTTCGATGCCAGAGATCCTCTCTTCCATCTCTTGCATTCTGTTGGTTATACTTGCATCTGAAGTTCCTGTTCGTTTACTCAGATTTTCTATTTCCAGCATTCCCTCTGTGTCTTCTTCATTTTTTCTGTTTCCCTTTTGAGGTTTTGGACTGTTTCTTTCATCTGTTTCATTGCTTTTTCATGATTTTCTTTCGGGGCTTTGTTTTCTTCCAGGGCTTTATTGTTTTCTTCTGCTTTATTTGTCCTTTCCTCTAGTTTTTTATAGCGTTCTTCCCATTTTTTGTTTGTCTTTTCCTCAATTTCATTTATGATTCCTTCTATAAAAGCCTCTACCTTCTTTATGATGTTATTCATAAGGCTGGTTTCTTCTGCTTCTTCCATTTTTTGATGTTCAGGTCTAGATGTTGGAGGAGGGCTAGGTTCTGGTGATGCTATATTGCTCTTCATTTTGTTGTATGTACTTCTGTCTTGACGTCTGTCCATCTCCTTGTGGATTTGTTCTTGGTCTTATCAGCGCTCTTGGTCCAGACAGAGCTGGCAGATTCAGGAAGCCTCTTCTCTTGTCCAGATGGGAGCTCTGGGGCAGGATGGGAGCTGGGGGCTGGTCTCTAAGTCTCAGGAAGTGGCTGGGGTCTTGGGCTGATGGGTGTGGGGGCAGGGCATGGAGATTGTAGGGTCTGCTGGGGTCTTGGAGAAGGGGATCCTTCCCGGTGGGGGTGTAGGGGATCCTGCCCAATGGCCAGAACCTGGGGCCAAGTTGGGCAGGTCTTCCCTGGAATGGCTGGTGCCCAGGGATGGGATCTAGGCTGAGCCCAGGCACTCACCTCTTTTCCAGATGGGAGGTCCAGGGCAGGATCCATTTTTAGCTTTTTGATCACAGTGCTTTTCTTCTTGATTTTCTTACTTGTTCTTAATAAATTTTTGAGTATTCTTCATAGGTCACTGATGCTATTAATTTTTTCCTGTCCATGGATGGTAATGATTTTTAAAAATCATAATTATTATTTTTTTGATAATTCAATACACTTATACATTTTGATCATATTCACCCCCAAACTCCCTATCTTACTTCCCCTAAATACTCCCAAATGAACCTGCTTACTACCTTCCTGTTTTCCTTCTGTCTTCTCCTCTCTCTTTCTGTACACATGCCATGCCAAGGTGTCTATGTGCATACAAGAGGACAATAGACATAGTTTTAGGACATACTAAGGAGCATTTGCTTGGAATGTGGTGTGTTTCTAGGAACAATCCTTAGCACTACACATAGTTACATATATATGTACACACACACACACACACACACAGAGAGAGAGAGAGAGAGAGAGAGAGAGAGAGAGAGAGAGAGAGGAGAGAGATCAGCCTACAGAACCTAGATTTTTCCCCCCTTTCTCCTTAAAAAAAAATCCAACAAAGATATCTGGTACTGTCTTTTTCTAATCCAGAGGAAACATCCGCACTTGTCCCCTCCAGGGTAAATAAAATATCCTTTGTGATAAGAATTTGGTGTCTCTCTGTGTTCTGTGACAGCTCTGGGACCCCTGTATCTGGTGTTATATCTCAGATCCTGACAGGGATTGGTCTACATGACCCCTGACCTAATTTTCACATTTTTTGGACAGTCCAGTGCCTGTTCCCTTCATCAAACAGAAGCTAATTGGTGAGTTTTCCCTTACTAGCTATCCTAAACTTTCCCCCACAATATTGGATGATTATAGCTGAGTGCCTGGCTTCCCCACTCTGCCTTGTGGGAATGGGGAGAATACACTTCATCACAAGCTTCATCAGACATAGCAGACTCCCTTAGATAGCTTGCAGGCCCATTTATTCAGTTTGGCTTGGTTGGTGGTTTTCCTTTTGCTTTTGGACAATGTTCAGTTGTAATCCAGTGTCTGTTCCTAAGTGTTCAAAAATTCTATCAACAGGCCCCTGGATTTATTCTGGGACTATTATGTCCCCTACTTGGTGATGGGGCTTGGATAATGACCCCCTACTCCCAGAGGTCTCCCTATTTATCCATCAAGACCTTGACTCCCAGCCACCATCAGCAAGAGGATCCTCTCCCTCCATCTCAACTGAAAGGCCTCTGAGAAGTCTCCTAGAGTCTACAACTCACACTTGACGTTACTGGTGTGCCTCAGAACTCAAGAACAGCCCTTATTACCCCTAGATAATCAAACAGTGGCAACCTTTATAATTTGTGAGCATAGAAAATGGGAGGAGATACTCCTTTCCTCCCTGCCTTCCCTCTTCAGAGATTCTTATGTCTCTGCCTTCTTGTACATCAGCTGTAAGCCTTCTCCTTACACTTGGTTTTCTGTCTCATGTCCATTACCACTGCTGTAGCCATGCGGTCCCACCATGGCTGTTCCAGCTGTGCAGCCACAGGAGTTTGCTGCTAGAGCTTGCAAAGCTCATTCTTGCTGCAGCTGCATCCACTCTCTCCCAACCTAAAGCTAAACTTTACTTTCCACTTTGGATCCCATGGATGAACACTCCCCCATGTGGCCATCCTCTCCTCCTCATTAGCCAGCTTTCCTCCAGTCCATTCTCTTTCCCCTGCCCCCACCTCCCATGGCCCAGATCAGGTTCATGTTCACTCTGTATTCTTCCAGATGTCTCTGCCTCTAACCATGTTCTCCCCCTCCTCTCCCTCTGATTTTATATCCAATCACCCAGAGCCTGTCACTCTGCATGGCCCAGCCTGGCAGGGAGAATTTGGTGTCCAGGTTTGGCTCACAGCATCCATCAACAAATGTCACTACACAAATTAATGATACCCAAATCTCTTATGCTCTTGTTCTATATTTCCAACAGCCTCTTATCTCCACTTTCAACTCAAAAATTTTCTAACTACTAATTTATAAACATTTATAAATTTGTTATGCAATCCTTTTAGTGACAAATTTTATTTAGCCTTCTGTATGTGTTTTTAAGGTTAAGCCTAAAATCAGGTATGCTTACTAGATAGATCATCCTCAAACATTTCAGATATCTATGGATATGGCATTTAAAGAGTTTAAGATTCCCATTAGAGAGACAAATTCTCACTTCTGGCAGGAACCTTATGTTCCCCAAGGAAGAGACATGGGGCACAACAACTTCACCTCAATTGTGGTAATGCTAACCACTGGACAAAACTGCCTCGTGCCTCTCTTGCTGTCAGGGCACTGATAAAATCCATGTTCACTTTTGAGTTGATTGCCCCCACTCTATCTGGTCAAAGGAAAGTCAGTTTCATAGTTCCTGGGGGGGGGGTCTGACAGCCAAAGGACAAAGCTTCTCTGTGTGGCAACTAAGAGATTAAACGTTGTCCTATGTAACAACTGAAGCCCTGCAACCATCCATCAAGACCTGGGGACCCTAAGGCAACCATCTGGTTAATGGGAATGTTTCTGTCATTTGAATAGATACATAGGCAGTTCAGGTAATACCTCCTACTGTAATTTATTCTTCTCAGATCTCTGATGATATTGACGAACTATACTAAACCCATATCAAAATTGGTATGAATTTTACCTTCTATTCCAATAACAGCTCCAAAGACACCTCTGCATCCCTCCTCCTGTTTCTTTAGCCTCCATTTGTACATGTTCTCACTCTCCAAATTCCCTAACCCCTGGTACCCTCTGCCCTCTTCTTTAGTCAGTCACACTGTGTGGGATACCACCTCTCCTCTCCTTGCTGCACATCAGAAACCCCTTTCTATTACATTTAAAGATCCTTCTGCCTACATATCCAAATCCCAATACCCCATACCCTTAGCCAGCTTTGGAGGCCTCAAACTCATCATTCAATCTCTTTCATCCAAGTGACTTTTATGCTTCACTTCTTCACACTACAATACCATCATAAACACATATATCATTCACTACATTCCATATTTTACTCTAATGCCAAATCTCTTGTATTTCTTCTACAAATCTACTTGACTCTTATCCAAGCAGATAAGACCTTTTTACTTAACCTAACCCAAAACTATGATGTATGTTAGTGGACTAACTCCACCTCCACTATAAGACCCTATGTCTTTCCCTCTCACCAAGCTATAAAGGTATAAAATTGTGAGAGTCTAAGAAAATATATGTATGTAATTGCAATTTGTAAAGGTCTGGAGATATGAAACTTAATAATTTGTGAAAGACTGTAATTAAAAGTTGTAAAGGCCTGAAGATATAAAACACAAGTAGTGAGGATCTAAAAAGGTGTTTTAAAATAATGTAAGTGCAGGTTATAGCAGTCTAAGAGAGTTCTAAAGTATGTAGATATGAAAGCTTAAGTTGAGAGGGTCTGAGAAAGTGATTTAAGGTATATAATTACAAGTTATAAAAGTCTAAAAGAGTGACTCAGGATATATAAAAAATGTTTCATATTGCTTTCCCTCTCTATGTACTATTAAAACTAACAATTCAGTTTTAATGTTAACCAGTAGAGTTCTGAGAAGCTATTAATCTAGCCCTTAGATACATCTCTCAGATATCAAATGGACAGCAAGTAAGTACCCATTTTAATCACCAGCTTAAATTTCTCATCTCCCTATTCCTGAGGCTGGGATCTCTCTCTGTTTCCCTGGTCTTGGGATTTCCCTCCCCAACTACTAAGACAATGGGCCAGAAAGTTTCAAATGTTCATCCAACATAATTTTTTTTCCTCTAAACTACCACTTTTCTTAGTCTATCTGTCCCAGCAGATTTCAAATCAACTACAGACTGCTCCAGCAACTAAGCAGCCCTGGGTGTTCCCTCAGAATCTGCATTCCAGACAGCTCCAAAGTGTCTAGTCCCAGATGGTATAGCCTCACCAACTGCTCTAACACTGCCTTTACTTCCCTAGACCCAGATGGCCCCAGAGCCCAGACAGTGAGTGACACAATCTGTACCTCCAGGACTTGACCAATATTTCAGCTTCCATTGGTCACTAACAATGATGTTCCAGTGTCAGCAGGCAACAGCCAGACGAAATGCCGCACCCTCCCACTCCTCTAGTCCCTTGCCTCAGTGCTTGTTGAATTTTGTACTTCACTCTTGAACCTCTTCATCTTCTTACCTCCCCCCTCACTGACCCTACCATCAATCCCCTTAGACTAATAACTCCCTTCCCTTCATCATTGCCCTTGGTCAACAAGAAGCAGCCAGAAAAATTGATGCCCACTTTCCCAACACCCAATGACTCAATAATAAAATAGAAAGGTAGAAATGAAGGTATTTCTAACAGGCCCAAGCATTAAAAATGTGTCATCAGAAGGTCTTGCCCTCCCCACTTCCCTCTCCCTTGCTAAGCCACTGGATTACATTCCTAACCCTAACCACCAAGTCCATTCCTTTCTTGACCACTTCCTTAAGCCTAACTCATTCCTGAGACTGATCACCAAGGTCAGCAATCAAAATTCATTATTTAACTACACTTAATAACATGTTCATTCAGGACTTACCAACTCATCCCATCACAGATTTCCTCTTTTTCTTCTTAAAATGTACTCCTACAGAGATATATGCTGCTGTCTTTGACCAATCCACAGGCATTCCCCACTTATCCCCTCCAGGGTAAATAAAATCTCATTTGTGCTGAGAATTTGGTGCCTGGATGTGTTCTGTGTCCCTTCAGAAAGAGGGAATCAATTTTAAGGTGATGTGTCATGTAAGCAGTGAAACGAAATGCTTTATGAAGTCCGTTCCTCTAAATTTGTTTCAATAATGACAAGGATAGGGAGGGGGGACTTCTGCTGCTCTTTATTTTCCCTTTAAGTAATGTCTTCTATAGACTCCATCCTTTTTTCACAGATACATCTGATTCAGAAATCAGGTACATAGTAAATATTCTTGCATATACATCTATGTTTCTATGGCAAGAGTAACTCGATGGTATCAACTCAGAATTTTATCAATGCCTTTCAGGCTGTTTTCTGCACATTTTTTTTTTTTAGTTTGGTAAGGCAGTACCTAAATAGAAGATATGTTAGTAGGCTAAGCCTATAGATACTGTGTTCATTCTTGGCAGAGTCAGAGGTAGAATTTCAATTCCTAAAATTGATTCCAGATTCCACAAAATACCATCTCAATGGATTTACACAGTGAAATTTGAATATTAGTAAAACCTGATACGTAGAAAATCCCCTTTCCATAATGTTTTTTACAATTAAAGTATTTGGAGTCAGTCTTAAGTATCTTGACTTTTTTTCTAGAGATGCATGTGCAGTGTGTGACTAAATAAATCCACACTGTGATGAAAGCACATCGGGGGAGAAGAAAAAGTCTCAGAACTCTCTCTTCTTAACTTAGCTCTCTGTTATTAAAGCTAACCCATAGAGCTAAACTTTAGCTCACATGACTTCTCAGTCTCCCGCTTTCTTATGTAAGCTCTTACCTGTGACATTTTGAATGCAACAAACATTTTAACTTTTAGATAAATGTCATGATGACAGTCTTACCAGGGTCATGCTATAAAAGGTAAAAAAGCCATATGATTAAAATGTTTACAGGATGGTTTGTCACCATTCTACAGGCAGTGGGACCTGGGTGACTGGAGCCAATAAATGAAGTGGAGTTGAGTCTCATGTAATAGCCAACCTTATTTAGAAACTCAGATAATTATACTCTGAGCATGAAGAAAGCAAGATTACTTTACATACATAAAGTTCTCATGAGTTCAATCTGTATGCAATCACAAGGATAAGACATACAGGGCAAAGCCACATTTTTCTATACAGGCATAAAAATTTAATTGAATAAAAGCAGCAAGCAATACTAAATAATCTAAATTACTAAATGAATTAAACTCATTCCTATCCTCTACACTTGAGGGAAGCAGGTAAACACACTCCAAGAACAATTCCCCGTTTTGAAGAAACTGGGGTCCCAAGACTCTTGTTTCCCTGGAGTGTTTACAAAAGCACTCAGAACTCTTTTCACATGACTCCATCCCTCGACCATGTTCCTGCTGGAACAACACTCAGATCATGCCTCTAGGATTAACTATATTGTAGTGTTTGGGGAAGAAAAACATTCATTCTATAGGATGACCAACCAATTTCACACAGGAAAACTTTTTGGAAATGATCTTTCTGCTGTGTGTGAGGATTATGATCTGCCCACAGCAGTTCTGATATGCCACACATGGTGACCAACCAATTTCAGACAGGAAAACTTTTTGGAAATGATCTTTCTGCTGTGTGTGAGGATTATGATCTGCCACAGCAGTTCTGATATGCCACACATGATGACCAACCAATTTCAGACAGGAAAACTTTTTGGAAAAGATCTTTCTGCTGTGTGTGAGGATTATGATCTGCCCACAGCAGTTCTGATGTGCCTCACATGGCTTTCCTCTGGCTGTCCTAAGGACAAAATTTATGGTGCTTGTATGTTTTCCTTCATTTCTACCAGTAATCATGTAAGACATTATACCTCAAATCATTAGCTTCAGAAAAGAAATTTCACAGGAGAAAATTTGTTTTAAAAATCATTAATGTGCCGGGCGGTAGTGGTGCACGCCTTTAATCCCAGCACTCGGGAGGCAGAGACAGGCAGATCTTTGTGAGTTTGAGGTCAGCCTGGGCTACCAAGTGAGTTCCAGGAAAGGCACAAAGCTACACAGAGAAACCCTGTCTCAAAAAACCAACAAAAAAAAAGTCATTAATGCAAAGGAGAGGAAAATCTGGTAAAATTTTCCTAATGTTCCCAGCTAAAAGTTACAGTGAGATGGATAGAACAAGTGAGATTCAGAGGAACTAAAACCATTTCAAAATCTCCTTCACACCACCCAGCTCCCACAGTGCACCCTTGCACACTATGGTTCTAGTACTCATGAATATGTAATAGCTCTCTGTGCTGTGGACATTGAGTGACAAGTTTCCATTTCTTCCACTTAAGACATGCTCTCCTTTATCAATGAAATGGGTCCAATCACTGACGGAATCTTCAGAATGTCAGCAATGTAACATCATGATGATCTATAATAGAAATGCTGGATTCTGGGGAAGAAGTGCACTTGAACAGCAAATGTGTTCTCATTGTGGCATCTGTCTTAAAGCAAGGACTCTCCTGGCACCATCCACACTCAGGATTCTTCATGCTTAATCTTGATTGATAATAGACATGAAGGATAGAATCTGACAAGCTGAAAGTTCATGAGTTTATATGTTAAGCAATCTGCTTTTGAGGTGAAGAGACTTACACGTTAAATATATCTTTCTTTGCAATACAGGCCATCATTTTAATGCCATTATTGGGCATTGCAGGTGAAATAATACCTACACTAGTAACAGTGGATAATAAAATATAATTTGAAGTATAAACCTGTCATTTGGATCAGTTATAGAAAGAAGCATTCTTCATTTCACTTCCTCTCTATCATTCTCATGGTGGCAAATATTCCAAAATGATGTTAGTATAAGGAGGAGGGTTTGACACATGTGAGTGTGTTATCAGATGTGCATGTCTGGTGAGAATATCTTGCTGCCAGTGTGATTTTCTTTATCACTTTCCACTTTATTTCTGCGAGGCAAGTTTGATCCCTCAGTAATGAGCATGTTCCCACCCTCTGCAGACATACACCATGTTAATGCACACAGCCAGTAACTATTTTTTCCCCTCTATCTTCACTCTACACAATGCTCTGAAGCAATCTCAGGTCCTCAATGTCCTGAAGGAAGCACTCTTAATCACTGAAAGATCCCATCAGTACCACATTAGCATGTCTATTAGTGATGTCCTTGTTGAAGTCTTATTTAGGCAGCCACACTGAATTCCATGACTGTATCTTCCTGTAATTTCTAGAAGACACAACTCAGCAGATCTCCTAGTCTTCTGGAACCAACAATCATTCTGTCACTTGTTCAAAATTCCCTAAGGCAAAAGACTTTAGGATAGGAACTCCTAGAGACAGGAGTTGATGCAAAAGCCACTGAGGAGTGCTGTTTACTGACTTGTCCCTTATGGCTTGCTCATCCTGCTTCCTATAGTGCATCACCAGGTGCAAGGATGGCACCAATCACAATGGACTGGGCCCAACTTGGACCCTCCCCTGTCAATCACTATTTAAGGTAACGCCCTACAGTCTTGTCTGCAGGCAAGTTTTATAGAGGTATGAAGTTCCCTTCTCTCAGATGACTTCAGCTTGTGTCAAGTTGATATGAAATTACCCCAGCACATGTTCTTCTTTCCAACCTCTCCTCTACCTGTCTCATTGCCTCTCAAATAGAGGCCTCTCTTTTTATTTATTTTTATCATTTTATTTATATGCCTATAAGTACAAAATGCTGAGAACATTGAGTGTTGCTTATATTTGCATATATGAATGATTTCGGGGCATCTGCCAGGACAATGTGTGCAAGATTTAACCAATCACAAACACAGGATACCTCTTTGGAAATTCTCACATGGTTGTGTGTGAGGATGGCAATCTGCCTGCTCCAATTATAGTGAGCCTCTTTATGATTCTCTCAAGCTGAATGGACCTGCAGAGACACTGGACACCCTGTGTTGTCACTCAGTGAATCTGCTTTCTAAATTAGCTAATATCTTCTCTGTTTCTGTCTTCCTCGGTGGTTTCCAGTCCAGGCCTGAGGATGGTGGGAGTTAGATCATAACCCTGTATTCTTATCAAACACAAAAATCAGGAGGGGGTAGAGGGTCAGAAGGTAGAAAGGCCCAGGTATCCAATGAAACCTTAATTTCAATGGGTCCATAGTCCAGAGAGTGTCCATTTGACAGCAGCCAAGGCTTCCATTTTCTTGACCTGGGTGTGGTAGATCCACTGTATAATGTCATCTATTCCTGAAAACACACACACATTTAGTGTTACATAGTTTGAGCAGGTTTTATTTATATATTTATAAACATATAAATATGTTTATGTATATGCATATATGTATGTAAGACCAATTAAAAAAGAGACATGGATTTGAAAGAAAGCAAAAAGGGTATATGAGAAGATTTGGATGGAGGAAAAGGAAGGAAAAATGGTAGAAATATAATCTCAAAAGATGATAGAATTATAATTTCAAAACATAATAACTGAGAGACCTACTGTTAAATATATTTTTATAAAATTATGTATTAAAAATATTCCCACTTCTCATGAAGCATATGATTTGCAGACAGTATATTAGGCAACAATTTGTGCTATATTTGTTTTTTAATTTAAAGATCTACCTATTTTGCTATATTATGTTTATAAGCATTTAGCCTGCTTGTTTTTTTATACAGCACATGTGAGCTTGGTACCTACAGAGGTCAGAAGAGACCATCGGATCCCATAGCACTCAAGTTACAGTTGTTTTAAAGGGGCCATGCCAGTGCTGGGAAACACTGCCAGATGTAAGCAAGAACAATACCTTTTTTAGATAAAAAGAATTCAAAAATATGTCTTAAATAAATTCTAGAGTTGGGTCATGGACTATGAAGAAATGTTTGGGACTGGAGAGATGGCTTGGTGGTTAAGTTTACCTATGTATAGATTTTTAATTATTAACCCAGGGAATTATGAGTTTTAAATTAGCTCTCTTGTTACATATTTTGCAAGTTTTTAATCACACCCAATGTGTTTACAAATCTTGAGGTGTAGGAAGTTTACAAAATAGTTTTACAAATCTTGAGATAAGATTTAATCCTTAGCAAAAGTTTTAGAAAGTTAAGCCGAAACCAAAAGAGTATGAGATGAGTAGTGGTAGTCCTTATTGGGAATAAGCAGGACCTTTATTTTGTTTTGCTCTCCTTTCTCTGTCACACAACAGAAACCTTTAAACAAGTATGCTTGGGTCTAGGGGAGGGGGAGCCATACCCTAACTGTAGAGCCAAATTGTAATTCAAGTCAGACAGCATGAAACAATAAGTCTAATGCCAGTTCTACCTAAAGGACACCTGAATCCCTGTAAAACTGAATCTAGTAAGCTGAGACCAAAGAAGGCTTAGAGATAGGAAATTTTTGAGTGCTGGCTATAGACAAGAAGATGCTGCAGGAGGGAGCTGAGAGAAGCACCAGCCAGCAAAGAGTTGTGCAGGGTGTGTGCATGTTGCTGCTGGCCTACTCCTTTGCTTTCTCCCCCTCCTGCTAGGTCTCTCTCCCAGCTCCCACTCAGCAACAAACTTACAGATCCATCTATGTAACTTAAAAGACAAAACATTTACACAGTGTGGGCATGTGTGTGTGGGGGGGAGGGGATTCTAGACAAAATAAACTGGACTTGGAGCCGAGAAATAGAGAATGGGGACTCTCTTTCCTTTTCTCCATCACTCACAGTATTCATAAAAGTCCCAAATAATATTAGAATCTAAAGTACCCTTAGGTGGCCCTTTGGATTGAGTATCTAAGGAGTATTGCAGCCAAATTTGAGTGAATAAATTTAGGGCCCTTCAGGTCAGGTGTCAGGTGGAGAGGCTGGAGGAAGAGGCACAATTGCTTGGTTTGGCTAAGGAAACTACAGGATTGCAGCTCCCAGTAGGGTGGCATGGGAACAGGTGAAGAGGGCCAGTTGTATTTTTAAAGACAATTGCTGGAGGTACCTCCACCTCCAAGAGTACCAGAAGGATGCTGGACACTCCACGGTCACTTCCTCAGACTTAGGAAAATGAAAAGTTTATACCACCCAAAGGGGAAACTTACCTAATCGCTGCTGGTGGACGGGATGCTGAGTGATTGGTGAACCAGGAGAGTCTGTTGTAGGTGGTCTGGAGATGACAGATAGGATCCCAGTGCAGCTTAGACCAGGAGGGCAAATGCAAGTACTAGGAGAGTCCATCTGAGTCATGACACCAGATGTAAGCATTACAGCTCAGATGGAAAGGTATCTTGGCAGCTGGGAGCCAGGGAATACCCTAAAGTTATCCTGCACAACAAACCTCACACAAGAGATTTACTGAAGGGAAACAACCAGGAGGGTGGCTCTCTCTCTGCTCCTGTGAAAAACACCAGCAAACTGAACAGGATACAAGGCTTAGATACAGTTTCTTGGGGAGGGGGTGGAACTTTTCAGGGTGAAGCTTTCCAGGATGGAGATTGGCAGGATTTCAAGTCCAGAGCTGGGGCTTTTTACTCTGTAGGAGGGGGACAGTGTCCAGCAGTTAGGGCAGTTAGAGTATTCTGTGGGTGGAACCTGTCAGTTAAAGGTCCTCGGGGGAGGGGCCTGACCACTTAATATGGCTCAAGGGGCTTACACACACCATACATAAGGACACAACATATTTATTTCTCTGTTTAGGAAATTAGTCCTTTTTATCAACATAGAGAATGTCAGTTTTATTTCATTGTCTACCTAGAAAGATTCCCCAAGTGTAAAACTAGGATATTAAATTCCTATAGAAAATCTATAGTAATAAGAAGAGGGATTCTATGAACAAGTGCATCAGGATCATGATGGGGAAACATGCAGGGATGTCCAAACCAAACTAGAGGGAACTCATGAAATTTGGATCAATGGCTGTGGAGCCTACATGGGACTGGACTAGGCCCTTTGCATGGTGAAACAGTTGTGTAGCTTGATCTGCTTGGGAGGCCCCGGCGGTAAGATCAGAATCCATCTCTGGTGCATGAACAGGCTTTGTGGAGCCCACTACCTATGATGGGACACATCATGCAGCCTTGAGGCAGGGGGAGGTGCTTGGACTTGCCTCTACTGAATGTGCCTCCCCATGGGAATCCTTGTCTTCTTGTGGGAGGTGGGTTGGGGGGGGAGTCTGGCAGGGTAAGAGGAGGGAAGAGGGGGATCTTTGATTGGTATGTAAAACGAATGAAAAAATTCTTAATAAAAAAAAGAATTTCTTATTATCAGTGTGCTTGCTGTATGTATTGCACTTCTTGTGATAAAATACCTCACAAAAGCAACTTAGGAAGGAAGGGCTCATAGTTCAAAGTTAACGTCCATTGTAGTAGGAAAGTCATGGCAGCATTGGCTGGCTATATTGCACAGGCAGTTTGAGAAGTCCAAACTTCCTCCATCTTACAAGCTGGGTATAAGTTTCAGTTTCTTAAACAAAGGGCCATTAATTAACAACACCCCTGACAGCAAGGACCAGAGAGAGAAGGCATGGACAAAGTCTGAGTCAGCCCCCACAGTCTTATAAGGCAGTGACCCCCTGAAAAGGCCAGGACTTGTTCAAGTATGCCCAAATATGGAAAAACAGAAATTAAAAATGTGTCAGTGTAACTGCTGCCTGTTTGACCAATCATGTTAGAAATGTCATAGCTGTTCCTAGACTTCCCCTCACTAGGCTTAATAAGACCTGCACACCTCTGTCCCAGGTTGCCATTTTGTACAAGTGGTCAATCCCTCATGCTGGAAGTTTCTACAGAATAAACTCTCTTTGTCTTTTGCATACTATTTGAGTCTGGGATCTTCCTTCAGCAATTCTAGGACCCTTACAAGGTAAGGGGTAGAGAAATGAATATTTTGTTTAGCTAACTTTCTCCTTTTAGTTAATATGAAACCCTAATCCTTTAAATGGCACCTCCCACATTTAGAATAGGTCTTCCCACTTTAATCTATCCAATCTTATGATCCCTCACAATCATGGAAAGCAGGAAAGCATAGTGAATGTTAGTTAACTAAACTGGTCCCCACACTCTAGAACAAAGAAATGTGATTTTCTTCCCCTCAATGGCCATCAAGCTTAAATATCATGTGAAGGATCATTGATGTCAAATCACAAGAAAACATGAAGAAACAATGGGTTATCTTTCAGTACTGAACAAAGAACTAAGAAAATGTCCTGTGTTCAGAGAAAACATCTTTATGAAGGAGAGATAATCACATTTTCACAAAAGAAATTGCAAGAAAGATGAAAAAAAACCTGCCAGGAAGAAACACAGAGGCCATACAGAGTAACATGGAGTTCCAGGTGTAGAGGGAAATAAGAAAATTGAATCTAAGTCAAGTTGACTTTCCAAGATCCAGGGTTATGTCTTAAATCAAGAGAGCATGTCCCTACATGATGTTTGGCTCTTGTATTAACTAACTTCATATCAAGTAAAGAAATAGAAGTGAGAACATTCTCATGCATTTGCTATTGACCAGGTCTTAGATTTTTATATTGTTCTTTATCTCCTTCATTACCGTTTGTTGAATTCTAGAGGTACCATGCTGAACGAAGTGCCATGAGAATGTTTAAAATATCTTGGTAATCACCCACATATTGCTTACATTACTATGATTTTAGAATTAAACACTATATAGTATCCATGGTAAATCATTTATTTTTCCCAATAGCATTTGTGAAAAACAGGCACATGCTAATCCTAAAGAGGGATTTCTCCTAACTTGAATACATCGTGATGTTCTTACAGAATAAAAAGCTTTCTGAAGCTGAATCTGTCATGACAGATAAAGCAAGGCCTGACACAGATGTTAGTCTTTTTCTAGAGGTGGAACACTGTTCCAGTTTTCAATAACATTGGAATTCAAATAGTAATCAAAATTTTATACATGATCAGGGTTTGCCTCAGAATTCAATTTACTAGAACATAGAAAGCCCTGGGTATTATCCTCAGTAGCATGCCTATAGTGCAAATACATATAAACACTCATAAAGCAACATTAGAACATAAAATGTTTATAACTAAACAGAAGTTCTATGAGATGGTCTCCTTATTCTTAGGACATACTTGAGTGTCTAAGGATAGAGATCCTTGATAAAAGCAACAGATAATCTTCAGAAGGTATGTACATGCACATAGAAAGATACTATGTCACAGAAAATGGCAAATAAAAATGGTGAAATGTTATCAAATTGGTAAATACTGTAGAAAGAACAAGTATTTATTTGTATTGTTTTATTCTTTTAAGTATATTTGTAATTATTTTCTTATAAAGATAGAATATTTCAAGGTTTCAAAATGTCATTTATAAAAACACACAAATATCTAGTCAATTGATCATGGTGATAATTTATTTGTGCTGAAATGTGATTTTATTTGTATATTAATAAATAAGAGTGCCTGGGTGTCAGAACTAATAGAAAGCCATAGCAGAAGTCTGGCAGTGGTAGCACATGCCCTTAATCCTGATTACATGACAGGCAGATCTCTGTGCATTCAAGGATACAGCCTGCATGGAGACACACACCTTTAATCTCAATACCAACCCTAGAGACCTGGAGGTCTATATAGACAGGCAGTGATGAGGAGGTCATGTGGTTGGTTTTACAACCAATGAGACGGCAGAACAGAAAGTCAATAAAAAGACAAACCCACAGCAAGTAGGTCTCTCTCTCAGGGGAAGGACAGCAGCGGCAGCTGGTGGTAAGAAGGCGGTCTTGGTCTCAGCTCTTAGCTACTGCTCTCTGACCTCTTGGGCTTTTAACTCTGCATTTGGCTCTGTGTTTCTTATTTAGTAAAAACCATTCAGAATTTCATCTAAAATTGATATGAAAACAATGGCAATATAAAAAAATGTTTAATTGCATTAAGAAAGAACTGCTTCAGAAAATAACTTTATAAAGTCTTTCTAAGTTGATGGACATTGGATGTGTGATTCTTTTTCTCTTAGGTACTGTGTCCAATATTGTTGATTCTAGCTTGACATATTAGTATTTGCTTAAGTGGTCATAGTCCTCTGCTTTGTAATCAAACTTTGATAATCTATCTTGTACTTTATCTATTGTGCAGAAAAAATTTCCCCTAACTATTCTAGGTGGATTATTGTATTTATCAACTCCATCTTCATTTTATTATTTCTATAGTATTTCTATATTTTTTCCATTAGTATCAGCATACAAAACCTGAATCATCTTCATCAGCTTGTGTTTACTTGAAGGTAAATCAAACTCTTATTGTTATTTGCTTTGAGTTCATTGATATTTCTATTCATGTTTTCTTTACATTCTTTGATCTCATTGATGAAGTTTATATTTAGTCTGACATTGCATGTCCTGGGAATCTAGAGAATTCTCACTAACTTATTTTTCTCTAGGATTGTGGAGTTGGGAAGACAGTAAAATATCTTTGCTGTTCATAGTGCTCTCATTTTTGCATAAAATCTGGGCCTGTGAATATCTTTCTTTAATATGTACTTCAAATGTGTGAGTAGCTTGCCTCAGGCTGGACCATGAAGCAGATAGTCTTCTGAATAAGGACAATAGGAGTTGAGTGAGATATCATGAGCTGGTTATAGGGATGCTTTCTGGGAAAGGTACATACATGGACTTTGCATCAGATCTAGGTCTAAAGTAAAGTAAATATTTTCTTTAAGTATATGTTTCTTATTTTGGTCTTAAATGAGTCTACTCTATTACCTCATGGAGAATCCACCATGATTTGTGTATTCATTTAATAAAAAAATTCAGATATTGTATCTGCAACCAACCATCTTATTAAAGAAGAAACACAGAACCAATGTAAAAGAGAAAGCCGAGCCGGGCGGTGGTGGCGCATGCCTTTAATCCCAGCACTCAGGAGGCAGAGGCAGGTGGATCTCCATGAGTTCAAGGCCAGCCTGGTCTCCAAAGTGAGTTCCAGGAAAGGCACAAAGCTATACAGAGAAACCCTGTCTCGAAACCCCCCCCCCAAAAAAAAAAGAGAGAGAGAGAAAGCCAAGAAGTCAGAGGTCAGAGCTAAAATCTCACCCTTCCTCCTGCAGTGGTCCTAGCTCTCCGAAAAAGAGCTACTTCCTGTGTGTAAGTCTTTTCATAGTCTTTTTGTTCTGCCTTCTTATTGGTTGTAAACCCAAACACATGACTCCCTCGTCACTGTCTGTATGTACAGCCCCCCAGGTCTTAAAGGCATATGTCTCCAATGCTGGCTGTATCCCTGAACACACAGAGATCTCCTAGCTCTTCTACCAAGTGCTGGGATTAAAGGCGTGTGCCACCACCTCCACACTCTTGCTGTGGCTCTAATAGCTCTGACCCCTGGGAAACTTTATTTATTAACATACAATTAAAATCACATTTCAGTACAATTAGAATACCACCAAAAGATATGTCTGTAAATTTTAGTACATGTGAGTAAAATTTATGCGGATTAATCTAAATGTTTCTAGAAAAAAAGACCTATTTCAAACTGATAGAAATAATAAATGATACTGTCTGTACAAAGCAATTACTGTTAAAATGTCCAAGACCAGGATTTAACTTGACAATTAGT